TCCCTAAAGGACCTGAGGGTGGGTGGGGGGTCCCCAATGTTCCCAGGGATTGGGGTGTCCCACGTTGGGGTGCCCTGTGCTGTGGGGGACAGCTGAGCTCGGTGACAGCGGCACCGGGATGGAGCTGTCCCCAAGGGATGTGACCTGAGACACCCCCAGGGTGGGGCTTGGCACCCCCAGCCCCGCAGCTCCGAGCCCGGCCCTTTGTCCCTGGTGCCACCCAGGTGTCCCTTCACCCCTCTGGCTGAGGCCTGGCACGCTCAGAGCACCTCCAGGCTGCCCGTGCCTGGTTTTGGGGGGCGGGCAGGTGAGATGGGGGTGATGGAGGGGGGCTGTGGCTGTGGGCAGCACCCATCACCCCCGTGTGCCCCCTGCACCAGGCCCTGGCACCTGTCAGGGGGCTGGGGGCACTGCCAGCAGCACCCACCCAGCTGTGCCCACACGGGTGGCACCGCCAGTGTGGCCACAGCGGGCACGGAGAGGCTGCTGTGGCCACTCCTGAAGCCTGGTGATGTCACAGGCCAGCTGTGATGTCATAGGCTTTTGTGACATCACCAGAGTGGCCTTGTCGCCTCAGCAGCCTCTCCGTGCCATTTGTCCCCTGTGCCAGCCCCACATTGTCCCCAAAGGACATCTGACCCCAGCAGGGGGGAACACACCAGGTGACAAAGAGTGGGGCACGGGGGACAAATCCTCAGTGTCCCCACCCCAAACCTCTGTGTCCCCACCCCAAATCCTCAGTGTCCCCACCCCGGGATCATCTGTCCCCAGCCCCTGTGGAGCCGCAGGTTCCCGCCGGGCAATTCCCAGGTGTCACTTTCCTAATGAACAACGTGTGGCTTAAAAGGCACCTGGCAGGTCCCTGGTGTGTCTGTGACCGTGGGGGACAGGTTGGGGGGACACAGGCTGGGGACACAGATTAAGGGGACATACTGGGGACACAGGTGGGGGATGTGAACAGGAATTTGGATGCCCTGGGAGCAGCGGGTGAAGCAGCCCCAGCTCAGCCCCAGCGCTGGCACAGCACCTCCTCATCCTCCCCTGGAGCAGATGAAGGAGTTCCCCAAAGCCTCCTGATGCCAGCCCAGCCAGAGCCCCCCTCTGTTCCCTCCTCCCCTGACCCTGCACTGTCACCACTGCGGGGACATTTGGGGACATTTGGGGACACGGGGACGGGCAGGGCACCACCCACCCCTCCCCATCCCCTGCTCACCCTCGGCCTGGAATCTGCCCTGGTTTGGCTCCTCCGAGGGTGGAGCTGCTGCAAGGACCCGGGACAGGGATGGGGACAGGGATAGGGACAGGGATGGGGACAGGGATGGGGACAGGGATAAGGACAGGGATGGGGACAGGGATAGGGACAGGGATAAGGACAGGGATGGGGACAGGGATGGGGACAGAGATAAGGACAGGGATGGGGACAGGGATGGGGACAAGGCCGGGGACAGGGATGGGGACAGGGATGGGGACAGGGACAGGAACAGGGACAGGGACGGGGACAGGGATGGGGACAGGGATGGGGACAGGGATGGGGACAGGGACCGGGACAGGGATAAGGACAGGGACGGGGACAGGGATGGGGACAAGGCCAGGGACAGGGACAGGGACAGGGACAGGGACAGGGACAGGGACAGGGACGGGGACAGGGACAGGGATGTGGACAGGGATGGGGGACAGGGAAGGGGACAGGGATGTGGACAGGGATGGGGACAGGGATGGGGGACAGGGATGGGGACAGAGATAAGGACAGGGACAGGGATGGGGACAGGGACGGGCTCAGCTCCTGCTCTCCTCCCCTCAGTGACATTCCCGGCTCACGTTAGCGCATCCATCTCTCCCCAGCCTTCACCTCCCAGAAATATTGCAGCGCGGAGCCGGCTCCATCTGGCAGCGGCCCCCGCCTCCCCCCCGCCGCCGCTCGCGGGGAGATGCCGGAGCCGGATCCATCGCCCGGGCCTCGCCGAGGGCCGGCAGGGACCCTAGCGGTGACAGGGGACAGCTGGCATCACCCCCCGTGCCACACCGCCAGGGGACAGCGCGGCCCGGCCCGCGGTGACATGGGCACGCCGGGGCTGCGAACTCGCTCCGGGCGGGTCCCTCCGGAGCCACCCGGGCCCAGCTGGCACCCAGCCGTGTCCTGGCACCACCCAGCACCCGGCTGTGCCAGCGCCGACCTGCTTCCTGTGTCCCCTCCCCGTGTCCCGTGTCCCCTGAGCCATCGCTGGGTCCCCCCCTGCAGCCAGCGCTGCCTGCGGGAGGGAGGGAAGGGACGTGGAGGGCGGAATTTGGGGAGGAAAGAGCTTCGCGTTTCAGCCAAACTCCTCAGTGTGGCAGCGAGGCCACATGTGGGGTCATTGTCACCAGCAGGGAGCAGAGGTGGCAGCGCTGGGACAGCGGGTCCCTGCACACGGGGACATCAGTGGGGTGAGGAGCAGAGCCCGGGGGCCACTGCGCCATCTCTCGCAGCCTCCACACCCAAAACCACCCAAAACGCAGCCCCAGCCCTGCCCCTGCTCCCCAAACCGTGCCCGGCCTGGGTTCAGCTCAGCCCCTGCTGCACTCCCAGCCCCAAACCCTGCGGGTGCATCCTGCTCACCCAGCCCCGGCTGCCACATCCCCGCTCACCCCCGGGGGTGAATCCCCTCCCCAAAGCCACCACAGAGCCAGGATGGGGCTGGCCCTGCCACCACAGGCCACGGTGGAGGGGACGGCACGGGGACAGCGCTGGGATGCCACTGCTGCCCTCTGTGTGGCACGGTGCTGGCACTGCCCGCTGCACCCGCCGAGGCAGAGCTTTGGGTTTTCATCTCGCTGCTCCCCTTTCATCTCCTCTCCCCGTTTCATGGCGCCACTTTCTTCTCCCTCCAAGCACCGCGCATGCGGATGAGCCCACCCTGCCCTCACCGGCTGCTAATGAGGCTGCGATGGGCACCCTGGGCAGGGGTTTGTGTCCCATCCCTGTCCCCATCATTGTCCCCATCATTGTCCCCACCCTGGGCCAGGGTGTGTGCCTCATCCCTGTCCCCATCCCTGTCCCCATCCCTGTCCCCATCCCTGTCCCCATCATTGTCCTCACCCTGGGCAGGGGTTTGCGCCACATCCTTGTCCCCATCATTGTCCCCACCCTGGGCAGGGGCGTGTGCCCCATCCCTGTCCCCACCCTGGGCCAGGGTTTTGTGCCTCATCTCTGTCCCCATCCCTGTCCCTACATGGACCAGGGGTTTGTGCCACATCCCTGTCCCCATCCCTGTCCCCATCATTGTCCCCACGTGAACCAGGGGCTTGTGCCCCATCCCTGTCCCCATCATTGTCCCCATCATTGTCCCCACATGGACCAGGGGTGTGTGCCTCATCCCTGTCCCCATCCTTGTCCCCACCCCAGCCACCTCAGCCACTCACTCTGTGTCACCCCCTCGTCCCCATTTGTCCCCCACAGGCCATAATTCTGATGCCAGGAACTGGGGCACGGATGGCTTCATTGCCCTGGCACCTGGGCTGTGCCACCCTCCCAGGGCTGGGGACCATGGCAGGGCAGAGGGGACACGCCCAGAGGTGGCTCTGCAGTGCCACAGGCGCCAGGTGAGGGCGAGCTCCCCGCAGGTCAGCACCGGGGGTGGCAGCAGCACAGGGAGCCCATCGGTGCCACAGGGAAGGGATGCCTGGTGCCAGGAGGGTGCCCGGGAGTCGGTGCCATGCCTGGCAGGGTGGGGTGGGCCCTGCCATCTGCTGGGCCACAGCCGTGAGTGACAATCAGAGGGCTCCTGCTGGGGGACACTGACCCCTCTGTCACATCCAGGCCTGGCACCTGCACCGGGGCAATGGGCACCGCTGATGGCCCTGGCGGCCGGGCACGGCCGGCCCTTTGTCTGGGTGTGGGCACTGCCACCGCTGTCACCGTGTCCATGTCACGGCCGTGCCAACCTCACCTGCCACGTGCTGGTGTGTGGCACCCTGTCCCTGTCCCCAGCCCTCAAGCCAGGCCGGTCCTGACCCCCGGGTTTGTGGGCACAGAGGAGATCCAGGACGTGGCATTGGCACCGGGTTTGTGGGCACAGAGGGGATCCAGGACGTGGCATTGGCACCGGGTTTGTGGGCACAGAGGAGATCCAGGACACGGCATTGGCACCGGGTTTGTGGGCACAGAGGAGATCCAGGACGTGGCATGGGGACACCGGGTGATGGGAGGTGGCTTTGGGGACCCTGCGGTTCTGTGGCCCTGCTGGTGCCCACCAAAAGGACAGCAGCGATTTCTGGGTGCCCAGCGCCTGTGCTGGGGACAGATCTGGAGGCTGCAGGGTGGCACAGCACTGAGGAGGTGCCAGGCAGACAAAGGCCTCGTTGGCAGCACCGTGGCACGGCTGGGCCTCGGCCACCAGCACAGTGGGGTTGGCACCCATGAGGGCTCAGCCCTGGGTGTATCAGTGAGTGTGCGAGCGTGCAAGGGCTGTGTGTGTGCCCAGAGGGTGCCAAGGCCCGTGTGGGGCCGTGCCACAGGCTGGAGGGCCCTTGGCGTGGCTGTGTGGCCATGGGGACAGACCTGCAGGCCAGAGAGGGCACTGCCAGCACCTCCGCCGTGCCCAGCCCGTGCCAGGCCCTCGCCATCGCCTCTCGGCTGCCGGCTGAGGGTGGGGACGGACCCGGGCGGCCGCGGCAGCGTTTTGCAGGAGCCGCAGATGCCAGCTCGCAGCGAGGGTCCCCGTGGCATCGCCCCCCTCACCCCGGCGCCCGCCTGTGCCCGTGCCACGCTCAGCCCTGCCGGGATGGCCGCTTTTCCCGCCGGCTCCATTGTTCCTCCCGGCCCCGCCATCGCCTGCATCTCGCCCGGGTCCCATTTTGCAGCGTGTAGGCAGAGCTGGAGATTTGGAAGAGGGTTTTTTTTTTTTTCTTTTTTTTTTTCTTTTTTTTTTTTTTTTTTTTTAGAGTACAGAGTGACAGATGGCGAGTCCTCCTTCCCCAGAGAGACAAATCTCCCTGAATGCAAGCGCATGTCAATCATTAGCTCTCATGTGATAGCTCTCGCGCATGACGTGCCAACCATATGGCACTGGCAGCAGAGCTGGTACCCCCTTTGCTGGGTAGAGATGCCACTCTCGCCTCCTTTTGGATAGAGGACTGCAGGAGGCTGGAGCACCTCAAGGAGCCGCGTCCCGCTCCCAGAAGATGCTGGGAACAATGAAATAAGAATTCCTGCGGTCCGCCCGAAGGTGAGTTATGTAAGAAGTGGAGGGTTGGGAGGGCAGCGGAGGAAACTTGAATGGAGAAAAGGCAACTTCCATGTTGATTTTGTTTCTCCGCCGCGTCTCGCCCTTTTTTCCCCCCATCTTTCGTTGTCCCCCGGCCCTCGGTTCTGCCGCTCCCCGCGGGCCCCGCCGATGGGGTTTTCTCCCCCCGCCGAAGTCTCCCCCAAGGGGGGTTCTCGGGGTTTCGCCGCCCCCGTTCCCCCCTCCCCAAGCCTGGGCGCGCCCGGGGCGCCGCGGTCCCGGTGGGACGGAGCGGGCAGCGGCGGCCGAGCGGCATCAACGAAATCAGCGCGGAGCCGCCTCGCCGCCGCCCCGGGGGGGCCCGAACCGGCGGAGCCGCCCCCCCGCTGCCCCCCGGCGCCCCCGGCCCTCGCCCCGGGCGGCGCCCCCGCCCCGGCCCCGCCGCGCCCACCGGCCCCGGGGGCGCCCCCGGCAGCGCCGCCGCCCGCGGCCACCGCGCACCCCCGGGGGGGCCCCGGCCGCCCCCGCCGCCCCCGCCGCCCCCCGGTTGCTGCCGCCGCATTTTACCGGGCCGCGCTCCGGCGGCCGCGGGGAGCCCCGGGGCGGGAAGGGGGAGGTGGGCGCGGCGGACAGGGCAGGAGGGGGTACGGGGGGTACCTGGGGATGCGGGGGGGGCGGCGGTGTCGCCTCGACCCCCTCCGGCCCCGAGAAGGCGGTGGCGGAGCCGCCACCGGGGCCGCTCCGCGCCCACGGCGGGGAAAAGTTGGAGGCGTCAAAGAGGGACCGGCGACACCGGGCCCGGCCCTCGGGGCATCGAGGGGGGGGCACCGGGCGGGCCGGGAGCGGGGGGGGCGCGGGGGTGCCCGGGGCAGCGGGAGGGGGGCGCGGGCGGCGGCCGCGGGGACCCCGGCGGTGGGGCCGGCGGGGGTCGGGCCGGGGCGGAATCGCCGCGCCCCGAGAGAGCCCCGGTGGCCCCGGGGTCGGGCGGCGGGGGCGGGGGGCGGCGGCGGGAGGCCCCGCGCCCAATTCGTTTTCGCCGGTCCCGGCGGGCGGGAGCGGGGCGGGGAGGGGACGGCGGGCGGCGGGGCCGCCGGTAACGCCTGGCTCTTTGCCCCCCGCTGCAGCCACCATGTTGACGCGACTTTTCAGCGAGCCCAGCCTGGTCCCCGAAGTCCCGAAATTCCCCGGTTGGGCCGAGGAGTGCGAGGAGGATGCCCGGAGCGAGAAGGAGGAGCGGGCGGGGAAGGGCTGCGCCCTCCCCGAGGAGCCGCCCGAGGGTTCGCTGGGAGAGAGCAAGGAGGAAGGGGAGCTAGGAGGGGACGAGGAGGAGGAGGAGGAGGAGGAGGAAGGCCTGGAGGAGGCGGAGGGCGAGCGGCCCAAGAAGCGCGGCCCCAAGAAGAGGAAGATGACGAAGGCGCGGCTGGAGCGCTCCAAGCTGCGGCGGCAGAAGGCGAACGCCCGCGAGAGGAACCGGATGCACGACCTGAACGCGGCCCTGGACAACCTGCGCAAGGTGGTGCCCTGCTACTCCAAAACGCAAAAACTCTCCAAAATCGAGACCCTCCGCTTGGCCAAGAACTACATCTGGGCTCTCTCCGAGATCCTGCGCTCGGGCAAGCGGCCCGACCTGGTCTCCTACGTGCAGACTCTGTGCAAGGGGCTGTCCCAGCCCACCACCAACCTGGTGGCCGGCTGCCTCCAGCTCAACTCCCGCAACTTCCTGACGGAGCAGGGCCAGGACGGGGGTCGTTTCCACGGCCCCAACGCCGCCTCCTTCGCCGTGCACCCCTACCCCTACCCCTGCTCGCGGCTGGCCGCGGCGCCCTGCCCGCCCGCCGCCGGCCCCGGGCCGCACGGGCTGAGGACACACGGCTACTGCGCCTCCGCCTACGAGAGCCTCTACGGCAACGCCTCCCCCGACTACAACAGCTCGGAGTACGACGGGGGGCTCAGCCCCCCGCTCTGCATCAACGGCAACTTCTCCCTCAAGCAGGACTCTTCATCCCCCGACCACGAGAAAAGCTACCACTACTCTATGCACTACTCGGCGCTGCCCGGCTCCCGCCCCGCCGCTCACAACCTGGTCTTCGGGTCGGCGGGGATGCGCGGGGGGGTCCACTCCGAGAACATCTTCCCCTACGACATGCACCTCCCGCACGAGCGGGGCCCCATGTACGAGGAGCTCAACGCCTTCTTCCACAACTGACCCCCCCCTCCTTCCCCTCCCCGAGACCCCCTCCCCATCGCCGAGGTGGCGGGGAGGGGGGGGAGACTCCCCCAAACCCCCCCACCCCACCCGCGGACCGGCCCCCGGGGCTCCGCCGTGGGCTTTGGTGCAATATGGGGACCCGGCCCCGGCGGCGGGTCCCCGCGCCCCGTGGGGACAAAGTGCTTTTTTGGGAGGATTTTCCCTTTCCCTTAAATTTTTTTATTCTGGTCGATTTGGTTATTTTTTAAATTTTCGTTGTTTATTGCTACTTCTTTACCATTTAACGTAATTTATTGAATTACTTTATTATCATCGCTCTTATCGTTGCTGTTATTATAATGACTATCACATCTATTATTATTATTATTATTATTATTATTATTATTATTATTATTATTATTATTAATTTATTTTACAAGGGGAGACGCCCCACACGGGCCGACCCCCCCCCCATCCAGCCCACCGAAGCCCTCCCAGCTCCCCAGCACGACCCTTTGCGTCGAGCCGCTTCGTTTCACTTTTAATTCGTTTTAATTCAATTTTATACATTGATTTTTTTTTTTTAAATTTTTTTCCCCACCTCCCACCCCCATTTTGGGCCGTTTCTCCCCCTCCCTAGCCCTGATCCCGACCCCTCCCGGACCCCCCCGGCATTGGACACCCGCTGCCCCGGCCCGTGGGAGCGAGAGGAGCCCGCGCTCGGCGCGGAGCGAAACTTTCCGAAGCAATAAAGAGGCGCAGGGAGGAACGAACCCCAATTTCTATCTATGCAAGAGGCCCGGCCCGGCGGACGCTCCGAGATGCACTTTGCTTTGGGGGGGCCCCGGCCCCGCTCCCCGCCCCGGGAGGAGCTCCTCGCAGCGCGTGTGTCAGGACGTTTTTTACCTGTTTTAAAAAACTTGAAACGGAAAAGAAAAGACAAAAAAAAAAAAAAAAAAAAGGAAAAAAAAAAGAAAAAAAAAAGGAAAAAAAAAAGGAAAAAAATAATGATAATAATTAAAAAAAAAAAAAAAAAAGACACCCCCCCACCTCCCCAGCGGAGCCGCCCCGGTTTTCCCGTGCTGGCTGAGCCCGCAGCTATGCAAGCGGGGCTCCGAGGGGGCTGGCGGGGCTGCGCCCGGCCGAGGGGTCTCCGGCCCGGTTTGCCGCATTCCTTCAGCCGGGACACACCGGGAAGCCGATAATGCTTTTTTTTTTTTTTTTTTTGGTTGGGTTTTCTTTGGTTATTTTTGGGATTTTTTTTTTTTTTGTCGGAACCTGCCCGCACCACCTTCGAGAAACCAGCATTTTTAAGAGACCAGGGAGGAGGAGAGGAGGAGGATTTCTGAGAAATGTTTTGAAAACGAAAAAAAAAAAAAACCACACAAAAAAAAGGAAAAAAAAAAAAAGAAAAAATGGGGGGAAAAAGAAAGAAAAAAGTTATGAAAAAAAAACTAAAACGGGGAAAAAAAAAAAAAAAAGGGAAAAAGAAACAAAAACCCACAAACCGTTGTAGCAAAGGGGACCCGCTGCCCGACACCAGAAGTGCTTTCGTGTTTCCGTTCCGTTTCATTTCGATTAATAAATATTTATGGCCAACGATATGCAAGACCCCCCCGCGCCGGGCGCCGATCCCGCTCCCCGGTCCCGGTTCCCGGTCCCCGTCCCCGCCGCCCGGAGCCCGCTCGGCGGCGGCGGCGCTCGGGGCGCGGGGCCGGGGGCCCGGCCGTTCTGCATGCACCGGCCCCCTCCCCTCCCTGCCGGGGCCGCCCCCCCCCGGCCCCGCCGGACGATCCCGCCGCCCGCTCCCGGTCCCGGCCCCGCCAGGACTCGTCGGCCGTGACGAGCCGCCGCCGGTGCGATCGCGGCGAGGCTGTAATTACCGAGCGTCCTTCGACGGCGATTAATAAATATTCAATGTTGACTCCGCCGCCTTCGCCGCTTTCCTTCCGCCCCCGGGGGCACCGGGGGGCACCGGGCCGAGCCCCCCCCGTCCCGCCCCCGGCGGTGCCGGCGCCGCTCCCGCCGCCCGAATGCGCGGCCCGCGGGGCGGCGGCGCCGATATAACGCGGCCGTGCCCCACGGGTGTCCCCCCCGGGACCGGGGAGGCGGTGTCCCCCCCTCACCAATAAAGGCACCGGGATCCGGTGCGGCGGGCCCTGCTCGGTCCACCGGCGGTGACACCGCTGCGCTCCCCTGGGAGCGGGAGCTCGGGGCTCGGTGCCCGGGGCTGGCACAGGGCCGCGGTGCCGGTGGCCTCGGCAAGGCTGCGCGGCGGCGGCGGCCAAGGCCGGTTCCTCGGCGGCGGCCCCGGGAAGCCGGTCAGGTCCCGGGGCTGGTGCCGGTTCCCGGTGCTGCTTCCCGATGGAGCCTCGGCTCGGTGCCCGGTGCCAGCGCCGGTGCCAGCGCCGATGTTTGTGCCGGCTGCTGGCGCCCGTTGGAGTCCCGGAAGCTCCCGCACCGGTTGAAGGAGCCGGTGCCCATGGGAGCCCCGGGATCGCCGATGTCCGGTGCCGTTCTCGGTACCCGGTAGCGCTGCCCGGTGCCCGGTGCAGCCCTGGCAGCGCGGGGCCGGTGCCCGGAGCGGAGCTGTCCGCTGCGGCGGTGCTGAACGGGCGCTCGGGCTTCTTAACGGCCGTCGGTTCACTTACCGACAGCACCACCGGGGCTCGCCGCCGCCCGACGGCCGCCGGCACCGGGCAGCGCCAGGCACTGCGCTCCCGGTCGTGGGGACCGGTTCTCCCCGGGATCACCGAGCGCCGGGGCCGCAGCGGGGCTGCGGGGACGGAGGCTCCGGTTTCCTCCCGTTATGCGTGTCCGGTACCCGCGCCCCGCAGCCCCGCGGCTTCTGGGGGTAAACCGGGCCGGTTCAGGGTCGGGCCGCCGCTGCAAACTGGGGCGGGATCCAGCGCGGCCCCGACGTGCTGGGCCCGGTGGCGGAGCCGCCGGTGTCGGGCCCGAGCCGGGGAACGGATCCGCAGCGGCCCCCGAGCCCCCGGTCGGGCCCCGGCGCTCGCCGCTCTCCCCAGAGCCGCGGATCCTCTTCCGACGGCTCCGGCCCCACCGTCCTCCCGGGACTCGTTTCTCGGGCGGAAAACCCCAGGAGGACGCGGGGACAACCGAGGGGCCGGGCGGAGGCTCCGCGGGGCCGAGGCCGTGCATGTGCGGCCCTTCCGCCACCGGCGGCACCGGGGTCGCGGCCGGAGCGGCGGCGGCGAAGGGGGGATGGCCCCGCGGAGGGGAGGAGGGGGACGCGGGGCTGCGGGGGAGCCGCCGACATCTGCTCCGGGACCGGCTGTGCCGGGGGTGCCGGTCCCGGTGGCGGAGCTGCGCTTTCCGTTCAATTGTCGGGATTTTTGTTTCCCCGGTGCCCCGCCGAATGTGCGGGAACCGGCAAGGCCCGGCCCCGCAATGCGGCCCCGCGCTCCCTGCACGGCCCCGGTGTAAAGCTCCGGAGAACGGCTCCTGGGCAAAGCTCCGGTGGAAGGTTTTGGTGCACGGTTCCCGCGAACGGTTTCGTTGCAATGCTCCGGTGCCCGGCCTCGGTACGAGGTTCCGGTGCCCGGTGCTTGTGCCAGGCTCTGAAACACAGGCGCGGTATAAAGCTCTGGTGCCCGGCCCCGTTCACAGCCTCGGTGCCTGGTCCGGTGCCCAGCCCGGTTCACAGCCCCGGTGCCTGGCCCGGTGCCCAGCCCGGTTCACAGCCTCGGTGCCCGGCCCGGTGCCCAGCCCGGTTCACAGCCTCGGTGCCCGGCCCGGTGCCCAGCCCGGTTCACAGCCTCGGTGCCCGGCCCGGTGCCCGGCGGCTCCCGGGGAGGGCAGCGGGACGTCGGGAGCCGCCGCCCCGCCGGGCACTGCGAGTGTTTCGTGCCACTGTGGCATCAAACCCACCCCGGGGGGGTTTGGGGTGTCCGGGGAGCCACCGGGACCCCGCGGCCGCCCGGAGCTCAGCGGAGCTCGGTCAGCACCGGGGGGACCGGCGGGGCGGCTCGCCGGGACTCAGCCCCGCTGTTTCAGAGCTGGGGGTCGGTGTCTGCCCCCCTGAGCGCCCCCGGTGCCCGCGGTGCCCCCGGTGCCCCCGGGCCGGCCCCTCCCGGGCCCTGCGGAGCGCGGCGGGGACGCGGGGCCAGCGCCAGCTCCGGGTCGCCGCTGCCACCGGCGAGTGCCAGCCGTGGGGGGGGGGGGAGGAGGAGTCATTGCTTCAGTTTAAATTTCATGGCATCTGTTCATTATTATACAGTGCGGATTTTTATATGGACAGCTAAATTAAAGACAGATTTCTGCCAAAATTGCAGATACCATAAAAAACCGGAGGCTCCCGGCGCCCGGCGCTCGCCGCGCTGCGGAGGCGGCCCCGCTCCGGGGGCCGGGGGCTGCCCGGGGGTCGGGAGGGATGTGGGGGACACGGAGGGATGTGGGGGTCAGACCGGGGGGGGCTGTCCCCGTTTTTGTGCCGTGGGGAGCTCAGGACGCCGTTCCCCGTGGAGGAACCGGGAGGTCCCGGCGGTCCCCGGAGCCGCGGCCGGGGCGGGCCGGGCTGGCAGCGATCCCCGGCGCCCCGGGGGCTGCAGAGCCGCCCCCTCCCCCGCCCGGTCTGCCAGGCTCCATCGCAGAGGAGTTAAAACAAGGACATCTGCGCCTGGAATCGCTGCGAAGCTCCAAACCTGCCAGCGCCTGCTGGCACCGGCCGCCGGCGGAGGCGGCTTCTCCGGAATGCGGCACCGCCGGCAGCTCCGCCCGGAGCCCCGGCCCGGCCCCGGGGGCTGCGGGGCCAGGAGGGCCTTGGCCCGGCTGGGCAGCGTCCCCGCCTGTGTCTGCCCCCTTCGTGGCGGTCGCAGCCCCGAGGGGATCGCGTTTTCCCCCCCTCTCCATTCACTCCCTGCCCCACTGAGCCCTGTCCCCATCCCCACAGTGGGTACGGGGGTGCTGGGGGCCAGCCAGGGGATGGGGAGAGGGCCCTGCCCTCCGATGGGGCACGGGCAGAGCTGGGAGGGCACAGAGCAACGGCGGTACCAAGGGAAGGGCAAAGCTGGGGGCACCTGGGGGCCGGGGCTGTGGGAGCAGCCCGGGGTCTGCAGCCGAGGTTTGCGGGAAGGTGGGAATCTGCCCTCAGCCCTTCCTGGGATCGAAGGGGAGAAAACGGACAAAACCCCCAAGCAGGGGCAGAGCGGGAGGTTGGATCCAGCAGACACCAGGCCAGCTCTGGCTGGGAGCACTGGAGAGCAGGTGGTGCCCACCTGAGCACCCCCAGCAGCCCAGCCCCCTTCCCTTCCCTTCCCTTCCCTTCCCTTCCCTTCCCTTCCCTTCCCTTCCCTTCCCTTCCCTTCCCTTCCCTTCCCTTCCCTTCCCTTCCCTTCCCTTCCCTTCCCTTCCCTTCCCTTCCCTTCCCTTCCCTATTTTGGGCTCCAGCCCATCCCCGCAGCCCCTCCGGACCCCCGGGCAGGGGTTCCCGCCCTGTCCCGGTGCCCCGGGGCCGGGGTCCCGCTCCCCGCTCCCGGTGGCAGCCGATGCCTCATTTCATATGGGAAATGTCCATTTTGTTGCTACTTAAAAGCTGATTTACGGCGGCTGCATCCCAGCCCTGCCTTGGCCCGTGTTCCTCCCATAATCTGCCCATTTCTCTTGGCAGCTCGGGCTCACCAGAGTCTGTGCCGGGCTCCGGGAGCCCTCGGTCCCTTCCCGTGGCCCCCGAGCTCCGGCCGCGCTCCCCGGTGCTGCTGGATCGTGCCTGGAGCACAGCCCGGTGCCCTCCAGATGGCAGCGCCAACACCCCCAAAACGCCGTTCCTGGGGCTGCAGGGATGGAGGGGACACGGGAGGAGGTTGGGGACAGCACATGGGTGGTGTCACATCGCGCTGGACCCCCCTTCCATCCACCTGCGCTCTGGCAGCACGGACAGGGTGGGCACACCTGGGCACGGTGGCACAGCAGGGCCTGAGCCGAGTTCCTGTCCCCGGTGCTGAGCCCTGTCCTAATTCACTTTTCCCCCATTAGGAACCTTTTTTTTTTGTTAAATAGAATCGAAAAGCACCCCTTTGGAATCATCACATTACCGCGGCGCGCCGTTATCAGGGCGATTAAAACCCTTCCCCAAATTCCAGGGCGGGCAGGATTGCGCCGTAATCCCGGCAAAGCAAACAACTTCTGAGCAAAACTAATTACATTTAGAGCAGCTGTGATAATAATCCTAATTCAACCCCATTCCGTGCCGAAAATCCGGCGATCCGGCAGCGAAAGCCGGGCCCGGGGAGGGGGTGGCTGCGGCCCAGGTTGTCCTTTCACCACAGAGGTGACAAAAACGGCGATTTCTGGAGGAGTCACGGCATCCTTTGACCCGTGGTGGCTCCGAGGGGACATCCCCGCCCTCGGCCACCAAACCGGCGCTGCCCATCACCCTGCGTGACCCCGCGGTGGCGGTGCCCCGGTGCCCGGGCGGTGGGCACGGTGCCCAAACCCCTCCTCGCCGTCCCCGGGGACGGGGGGATCGCAGCTGGCGCACGGAGCCGTAATGGCCACGGCTGGGCTGGCACGGCGGCCCCGCGCCTGCGGGCACACGGGCAGCAGCAGCTTGTGCTCCGATTGTCCTTGACGAGTCCCCCCGCGCTGCCACCCCCGGCACAAAGCCCCCTGTCGCCACCGTCACCGCCACCGCGACCCCCGGTTCCTCACGGGGGTGGCACCGGCGGCAGCTCCCGGAGCCCCGTGCGTGGCTCTGGTTGGAAGCAAAGCCTCCGTTGGCATCTGCGGTGGCACTGCCACCACCGTGGTCACCGCTGTGGCACGCAGTGACATCCCCACCCCGCCCGTTACCTTGGGGAACGCTCGCTACAAAACTCTACCCTAGAGCTTTAATTCTTTTTCTTCTTTTTTTCTTTTTTTTTTTTTATTAAAGTTGCCAAAAATTTGTGTTAGCTAATGGCTTCTTAATTCCGCCGAAGCCCAGGGAAGGAAAATGATGCCATTCATCTTGTATTGGTTTGAAATCACGTCTGACAACTAATCGATCATACTGTGGGACATTAACTCCTTTGGATGGGGGCCCAAGCGCTCTCGCAGCTCCTCGCTCCCGCGCTGGATCCATTTAACTACTTTACTGCTGGTATTTTGGCACGTGGCTCCGCGGGCTGCTTCCTCTCCGGTTGGTGCCGCTGAATTATTTGCCTTTCTCCGGATACAGCTGGCACGGAGCTCCCGCAGCTTCCCCCGCCCCTTCCCCGCCGCCCTTCACCCGACCTTGGCCCCCCGAGGGCTCCACGCCCCCACCCTGTCCATGGATCCCCCCCCATTTTGGGGTTTTTTCCCAGCCTGTGGGGTCCTGGGGGGTGGCTTTGTTGCCTCACCTTGTGGCGACCCCAGGTGACCCGTGCCTCAGTTTCCCCGTTTCTCCACGGGGGTGTCCCTCAGCGTGGTCACAGGGACAGGCTGGTGGCGCCTCGCAGCCATGAGCAAACTTGGGGTGGTGGCCCCATCCCTGATGTCCCCCCCCACCCCAGTGTCAGGTGACCCACCAGCCCTGGTGACACCAGGGGGACAGGGATGGTGGCACTGGGCTGTGTCCCCCAGGGTTTGGGGACCCCGAGGCACAGCTGAGGGTGTTGGGGGCACCCCCACCCCCAGGATAAAGGGGTTGGATCCTGTCCCATCCATCCACTGCTGTGGGGGGGGGGATGTGGACATTGTCATGGGGAAGGTCCTGGAAGGACAACAAGGACCCCGGGGTGACCCAAAGGGACTCAGGACACCCTCAGGACCGCCAGGCACGGCAGTCTGTATATGGCCAAGGTGGGCGGGACCAAATCCAGGGAAGGCTGTGATTGGTCAGCAGCACCAGCCCTGGCTGGGGATTGGCTGCCAGCAGAAACCCTGGATGGGGATTGGCTGAGGCCTGTGCCCATCCCAGGGGTCTGGGTGGTCCTTGGTGGCCCCCCAGTGATGAGGGGACACACGGGTGTCCCACGGACCCCCCTCACTGTCCCAGCCAGGGACACAGCTGAGCCCCGGGTCACAGCCCCATGTCCCCCTCCAGGCCCTGGGTGCCACCAAGGGGTCACAGGAGGGGCTGTCCCCTCTCAGGGGGCAACACAGGGCCAGGGTCCCCTCACTGATGGCCCCTGGTTGAGGAAAGCCATCATGTCTGTCTGTCTGTCTGTCCAGGCCTGTATGCTGGTCTGTCCAGTCACCCTCTCCCCACCCCGTCGCCTTTCTGTCTGTCCCCCTCCTGTACGCCACCTGTCCATTCATCTGCCCATCCCATGTGTCCATCCATCCATCCATCCATCCATCCATGGATTCCATCCATCCATCATCCATCCATCCATCCATCCATCCATCCATCCATCCATCCATCATCCATCCCTCCATCCATCATCCATCCATCCATCCATCCATCCATCCATCCATCATCCATCCCTCCATCCATCATCCATCCATCCATCCATCCATCCATCCATCCATCCATCATCCATCCCTCCATCCATCCATCCATCCATCCATCCATCCATCCATCCATCATCCATCCCTCCATCCATCATCCATCCATCCATCCATCCATCCATCCATCCATCCATCCATCATCCATCCCTCCATCCATCCATCCATCCATCCATCCATCCATCCATCCATCATCCATCCATCCATCCATCCATCCATCCATCCATCCATCCATCCATCCATCATTCCTTTCATTGTCTTCATCCCTGTGACCTCCATCATCTGCTTCATCATCCCCTTTATCCTCCTCCTCCCCACCTCCCTCTTCACTCCCATCCTCTCCATCACCCCTATCATCCCCTTCATCCCCATCACCCTTATCATCACCTTCAACCCCATCACCCCATCACAGCCTTCACCCCACCATCACCTTCATCTTCATCCTCACCTTTAACCCTCACCACTTTCATCTCCATCATTCCCATCTTCATCTTCATTGCCTCCACCACACCCATCACCCCCGTCATCCTCACCATCCCCTTCATCCCCATCATCCCCTTCACCCCCGTCATCCCCATTTTCCCCATAACCCCCAACATCTCCACGATCCCCTTCATCCTCATCACCCCCTCACTTCTGTCATCCCCTCCATCCCCACCCTCATCATCATCCCAATCATCCCCTTAGCTCTATCACTGCAATCCTCCTCCTCATCCCCTTCATCCCCATCACTCCATCACTCCCATCAGCCCCATCCTCCTCCTCATCCCCTTCACCCCATCACCGCCATCATTCCCATTATCCCCTTCATCCCCATTCCCCCTCACTTCCGCCATTCCCTTCATCCCCATCACTCCATCATCCCCGTCATCCTCATCACCCCTGTCATCTCAATCATCCCTGTGACCCCCAACTCCTCAATCATCCCCCTCACCCCATCACCCCATCATCATCCTCATCACCCCCACCACCCTAATCATCCCTCCCACCCCCATCATCATCCCCATCATCCCTGGCACCCCAACACCTCAATCATCTCTGTCATCCCCATCATCCCCTTCACCCCATCACTCCCATCATCCTCCCATCCATTCTTCTCCTCACCCCCATCATTCTCATCACTCCCATCATCCCCATCATCCCCTTCATCCCCATCATCCTCATCATCCCCTTCATCCCTATCATCCTCATCACCCCAATCATCCCTGTCACCCCCAACACCTCAACCGCCACTGTCATCCCCGTCATCCCCATCATCTCCATCATCCCTGTCATTCCTACCGTCCCTTCATCCTCATCATCCCCATCATCCCCATCAACCCATCACCCCCAACATTCCAATTATCCCCTTCATCCCAATTCCTCCCTCACTTCCACCGTTCCCTTCATCCTCATCATCCTCATCATCCTCATCACCCCCATAATCCCTGTTATTCCCATCATCCCAATCATCCCCATCATTCCCATCACCCCAATCATCCCTGTCATTCCCATTATCCCCTTCACTCCGTTCTGCCCTCACTTCCACCATTCCCTTCATCCCCATTACCCCCATCATCCCCATCACTCCCATCATCTCCATCGTCCCCATCATCCCCATCATCCCCATCATCCTCATCACCCCAATCATCCCTGTCACTCCAACATCTCAGCCATCCCTCTCACCACCTCCACCCCAACCATCCCCATCATCCCCATCATCCCTGTCATTCCTACCATCCCCTTCATCCCCATCATCCCATCCTCCTCCTCACCGCCATCATCCTCATCATCCCTATCATCCCCATCATCCCCTTCACCCCATCCCTCCCACCACCCCAACCATCCCTGTCATTCCCATCATCCTCATCATCCCTGACATCCCAATCACCCCAATCATCCCTGCCATTCCCATTATCCCCTTCACTCCATTCTGCCCTCACTTCCACCATTCCCCTCATCTCCATCACCCCCATCCTCCTCCTCACCCCCATCATCCCTGTCATTCCTACCATCCCCATCATCCCCATCACCCCTTCCTCCTCCTCACTCCCATCACCCCCATCATCCCCATCACCCCCATCATACCCATCATCTCCATCACCTCCATCACCCCCATCCTCCTCCTCACCTCCATCACCCCCTTCACCCCATCATCCCCATCACTGTTATCACCCCCATCATCCCCACCACCCCAATCATCCCCATCCTCCTCCTCACCTCCATCACCCCCTTCACCCCCATCCTCCCCACCACCCCCACCCTCCCCAGCACCCTCCTCCCCCTCCCTCCTCCACTCTCCACCGATGAAGACGCAGACCCCGAGCGTATGTCAGGAATCAGAGCCTGTCGCAGGCGCCTAATCTGTTTTTCTAAGCCGCCCACGAGCAGCACGTTTGCCGAATTAGGCCGACAGCTGCTACGGGTCCTTCTCCCCCTCCGCGCCCGCTCCGCGCCGCCTGCCGCAGATGCCGGGGCCGGGAGCGGCGGGTACCGGCACGGCGGCCTCGCGCCTCCCTCCCGCCGCTCCCCGGCACGCGGAGCCCGGCACACGAGGCCCGGAGCCTCGCCGGGACACACACCCCACCCACCAGCCCTCCCTCCCCCGGGAGCGCAGCGCATCCTGTGCATCCTCCTCTTTTTTTTTTATTTATTTTTTTTTCCCCCCTCTTTTTTTTTTTTTTTTTTTTTGGATAGCAGTAGAATGCAATATGCAAATGAGATGGTTATTACCGCAATGTTCGTCAAGCTGAGCTGAGAAGACATTAATAGCCTGATGAATATGCATGTGAATTTGTTAATTAAGTTAATTATTCTGCTGAAAATGCATTCGTCTTCCAAGGACATTTTCCCAATGATTTTTACATGCTTCAGTCATTAGTCATGCTGTATTTTATCAGGGAAATGAGTTTGCTTAAGTTGCACAAAAAAAAAAAAAAAAGCAAAAAAAAAAAAAAGCCAAAACAACAAAACGGGAAAAGGGGTGAAAGAATGCAGGAAAACAGGAAAAAAGGGGGGGAAATGAAAAAGGAACAACAAATAAAGGGAAAAATGGAAAAGAAGGAAAAAAACCAGGAAACAAAGCAGGAACTGCAGCTCTGGGGGAAACTTAGCAGGGCTGCAGGTGGGTGCAGGTGGGTGCATCCTCCCCATCTCCCCCTTCTCCCCCCCTCTGATGACAAACTTTTTTTTTTTCTTTTCTCTCTCTATCTCTCTCTCTCTCTTTTTTTTTTTTTCCAGTGCCAAATTTCCAACACATTAATTAATTGTTGTAGCCAATTAACTGTAGTTGTGCAAATGAGTTTAGCACTAATTACCATGCAGTGCCTGTAATCACATAAAAAACTTGCTGAGAGGTGGAGGGAGCGGAGCTGGGGGGGGCAGCGGGCGCTGTGGCAGGGGGGACACGGCGGGGAGACGCGGCGGGGTCCCGGTGGCTCCCCCGGTGTCGCGGTTCTTGGCTGGGGGCAGGTGACGGCGACAGCGGTGTCACCGGGGCTGGCCGGGCACACGCGGGGGCAGATGGCAGCTCCTGTGCCGTTCCGTGCTGTGCCGTTCCGTGCTGTGCCGTTCCGTGCGGCACGGAGCCGCGCGGAGCCAGGGCGGCAGGAAGGAGGAGGGCACGGATGCCCTCAATGCCCCCCATCCTCCTCCTCAATGCCCCGGCTGTGCCACCTCTGCCCACCCGGTGACGCTCCGAGCGGGCCTGGCACGGCACGGCCGGGACAGGGGGTAGCCGGGGCTATGCCCTCTCCATCAGCCGGGCTGGCAGCCGGCGGGCACCGCGGACGGGCTGGCTCCGTGCCCGGCCGGAGGATTAGCCGTGCCATGGATACGGACTCCGCAGGGAACGCCGTGCTGCAGGCCTGGGGCTCCGCTGGCACGGCACGGCACGGCGCGGTGGCACGGCATGATACGGCGTGGTATAGCACGGTGCAGCCTGGCATCACCCGGCGTGCCAGCCCCGGCCGTGCCCATCCCGGGGGGCTCTCGCGGCTCCCCCCGCCCGGGAGGCAGAGAGTTAACGCGGGACCCGCCGCGCTATAAATTTTGCATCGTGCGGGGCTGGGGGGAGCTGGGCGGGAGCCAGGGGCGTCTCTAGGTAACAATAAACACCCGGGCAGGAGCAGCTGGTGCCCCGACCGCCTCTGCATCACAATGCCGGAATCACGCTAATCAAGAGCCCGCACCGCGCCCGCACCGCGCCCGCACCGCCCGGGCACCGCCGGGGCACTGCCCGGGCACCACCGAGAGGCTCCGGCCGGGGAGGGGCCGGGCACGGGCAGGGCATGGCCGTGGTGAGGGTCTGGGTCCGTCCATGGGGAGGGTGTGGGAGTGGGGAAGGTTTGACCGTGGTGAGGGTCCAGCTATGGCAAGGGGCTGGGCAGGGTGAGGGGCTGGCAAGGGTGAAGGTCTGGCTGTGGTGAGGGTCTGGTCAGGGTGAGGGTCTGGTCATGGTGAGGGTCTGGGCTGTGGTGAGGGTCTGGGTAGGATGAGGGTCTGGTCTGGGCAGGGTGAGGGTCTGGTCAGGGTGAGGGTCTGGTCATGGTGAGGGTCTGGGTAGGATGAGAGTCTGGTCTGGGCAGGGTGAGGGTCTGGTCATGGTGAGGGTCTGGGTAGGATGAGAGTCTGGTCTGGGCAGGGTGAGGGTCTGGGCAGGGTGAGGGTCTGGGTAGGATGAGAGTCTGGTCTGGGCAGGGTGAGGGGCTGGCCACAGTGAGGGTCTGGCTGTGGTGATGGTCCAGCCATGCTGAGGGCTCTGGTGTGGCAAAGATCTGGCCACAGTGAGGGTCTGGCCATGCTGAGGTTCTGGCCATGGTCAGGGTCTGGCCATGGTCAGGGTCAGGCCCCAGTGAGGGTCTGGCCATGGTGAGGGCCACCCCAGGGCTCACATGCCACCACCATCAGTCACCAGGGAGAAGGGCCGGTGGCACAGACCCCTCCTGCTCCTGGCAAATCATCCAGACAAAATGGGTCTGACCCCTCCAGCCATGTCTGCTGTCACCGGTGTCACAGGGCACAGGGCCAGGCTCTGGTGACACCTGACCATGTGCCACCATCACCACGGTGGCACTGTGGCTGGTTGTGCCAGCACTGGGGAGCCAGCCCAGGACCCCCAGCACCTTCCTCTCCCCAGCATCTTCCTCTCCCCCTGATGTCTCTGGTGGCTCCAAGGGCCTGGAGTTTGGCCACCACCTTTCCACCTCCCTTGTGCCAAGAGCTGGGATCTGTGGGGGTTGTGCCCCCCTGTGATGTGCCCCCCTTTTCTCTGGGCAGGCTGGGGGTGCATGGGGCTGTGGGGACCATGGCGGCAGCAGCAGTGTCCGAGGAGTGTGGTGGCAGCAGTGGCCAAGGAGGTGTGGTGGCAGTGGTGGCTGGGGGGGGGGTTTGGTGGCCCTGGTGGCTGAGGGAGTGTGGTGGCAGTGGTGGCTCAGGGGTGTGGTGGCAGAGGGGGTGTGGTGGCAGTGGTGGCCGCCGTCCTCGCTGGCTGCCGTCTGCATTCCAGCGCAGGAGGCAGCTGTGCCACCCCCCAGTGTCGCTAAATATTAATGCTGCCCTACATTGTGCCTCGGCACCTGCCACGGGCGAGCCCCGCCGGCCCTGCGGGGCTGGGCAGCTGCCCCGGCACCACCGCCCGGTCGGGCCCCCCCGAGCTGTGCCACAGGGTGCGGGGGACACGCCAGACCCAGCTGTGTCCCCTCCCCAGAGCCAGGAGGGACAAAACAACCATGGTGGCACTCGCGGCGGGGAGGGCAGAGAAGGGTTGTGAGCCCCCCGTGACCCCTCAGGGATGGTCCCAAGAGCAGATTTGGGGCAGGATTTGCTGGCAAAAAGGAAAAACATCCTCGGCTGAGGACGTGCCGCTCGTCACACGAGTGCCAGGCGGCAGCGGGGGTGGCCCCGGCGCCCGCCTTGAGCCCCAGCCAAAAGTCCAGAGCCGAAAGTAGGGGGTGATTGATGGCAGCGTTTGGCTCGTAAGGGCACCCGGCGGCCCAATCCTCCCGCGGCCCCAATTCCTCCCCTGCCCCTATTCAGAGATCATGTTGTCTCATGTTGGTCCCAGAGGCGCCATTAATTAAAAATACATCCAATTAAATGGCAGGTGAAAGCGTGCAGCCGCGGCCCCCCCGCGCCTCGGCTCAGCTGCGCCCGTGGCAGCGGGGAGGGCGATGTGCCCACCCGGAGCGCGGTGCCAGCTCCTGCCAGGGCCCTGGCCCCATCCCGGTGCCCGCTGTCACCCCGCCTGTCCCCTCTCCCACAGGCCGGGCGTGGCAGGTGGCATCTGGTGGCAGGAATGTCCCCAACATCGAGGCGCGCTCAGTGGCACAGGAGCGTTGGCACTGCGGGGACAGGGACACGGGGTGGGTGATGGCCTCGGAGGTGGCACCGGGGGGCACCCGGGGCTGGGGACCTCCCCGGGCCGCGGTGGCTCCGCGTTGTCACTAATTGGAGCCGCTAATGGCGGGCGCTTCCCACTCCGGGTGCTGCTGGCAGGAGGCACCAGCTGTGCCACCGCCCGCGCCACCGCTTTAATCAAGCTGCCGGTGCGAGGGGACAGGGCCAGGTGGCCCCGTGGCACGGGGATTGTGTCACCTCCCCCCCGTGCCCAAGGAATCCGCACCCCATCCGTGCCCATCAAACCCCATCCGTGCCTGCCAAACCCCATCCATACCCACCAAACCCCATCCATGCCACCAAACCCCATCCGTGCCCGCCAAACCCCATCCATACCCACCAAACCCCATCCATACCCATCAAACCCCATCCGCTCTCACCAAACCCCATCCATGCCACCAAACCCCATCCGTGCCCGCCAAACCCCATCCATACCCACCAAACCCCATCCATGCCACCAAACCCCATCCGTGCCCGCCAAACCCCATCCATACCCACCAAACCCCATCCGTGCCCATCAAACCCCATTCCGTGCCCACCAAACCCCATCCATGCCCATCAAATCCAATCCGTGCCCACCAGATCCCATCCACACCCACCAAACCCCATCCATACCCACCAAACCCCATCCGTGCCCATCAAACCCCATCTGTGCCCACCAAACCCCATCCATGCCCACCAAACCCCATCCATGCCACCAAACCCCATCCATGCCACCAAACACCATCCATGCCCATCAAATCCAATCCATACCCACCAAACCCCATCTGTGCCCACCAAACCCCATCCATGCCCGTGCTGCCACCCAAAATCCACCCGTGCCCTCAAAATGTGGCATCTTGATGCCAAGGGATGGGAAATGCCATGGGATGAGGGTGCCCCCCATCCTTCCCCCCAAAACTGAACCCCAACACCTCGTGCATCCCCCACCCGCGGCCTCCAACACCTCCGAAGGTTTTTTTGTTGGTTTGTTTTTTTTTTTTTTTGGTGGTTTTATCCTTCTCAGTCCTTTTCTTCTCTCCCCTTTCCAAATGCCAGCGAAAGGTGTGAACGGGTTTTTGGAAGGAAACGTCTAAATTGGATGAAAAACCTTTAATGCCGACAGCCGGAGCAGCTGGAAGGACAAATATAGCCGGAGAGGAGGAGGAGGAGGAGGACGGGGACGCGGTGGGAGGTGGTGGCCGTGCCGAGAGCGACACCTGGTGACAGTCACCCCCCCCACGCCGGACACACGTGTGAACACGCGTGTGCCAGCGCAGGTGTGCGCGCACCTTGGCACACGCGTGTGCCAGCCCGGGAAGTGCGAGGCCTTCTCCAGGTGGGAATCCCGACAGGATCCCGTGGGATGCGGGTGGCCCGCGGGGATCTGCTCCATGGGGAGGCCCCGTCCTCCTCCTCCTCCTCATCCTCCTCACATTCCATCTCCATCCCGGCTCCAAGGATGCTCCGGAATGCGACGGACGGTGCCACCACCGCAACCCCAGCGCCGTGAGGGCATGGCGAGGATGAGGAGGAAGAAGAGCGGTGCCAGATGCCACATTTCGATCCGATGGAGCCGGGAAGGGTGGGATGGAGCAGACACGGGAATAATCCAAGCGGGGAAGAGCCGAACGCCGGAGAGATTTACAGCGGGCAGCCCCCCGGCCATTTGGCACGGCAGCTGCTGCCGAGGAAGTTCAATGCCAAAATAAATTAAACGGGATAAAATGGCCCTGGTCACCTTTGCATCGGGATGCCGCAGGAGCTTGGGCACGTGGGGGCTTTGTCTGGCGGCAGCGGGAAGGGAAAGTGCGATTGGGATGGGATTGTATGAGATGGGACGGAGCTCAGGGTGACATCGCGTCCTTTCTGAGGCCTCGGAGCCCGGAGGAGCCGCGGGCACGGAGCAGGAGGGCTGGGTTAGGGATCCAGCCGAGTGCACGGGGCCCAGCTGCCCCTCCATAAATCAGGGGAGCCTCTGGGTGGGCGCTGGGGGCTCGCTCCTGCCTTGCCAGGCACCGGGGAGAGCCCGGCGCCGCCGCCGCCCCCCGCCATCTGCACAGGGATTTTATTTTAAGACGTGTCAGCGCAGGGATCGGGAGCAGGCGAAAGGAGAGCGAGAAAGCCGGGGCTGGAACGGGAAAGGGGCGGCAAAGCCGGGGCTGGAACGGGAGAGGGCGGGGATGGAGGCACGGACACGGAGCCACGGCCCCTCCAGCTCCCCCTGGCCTCGGAGGGGCTGTGCCAGCCTCAAGCGAGCAGGAAGGAGATTCTAGGATGGCTCCCACCATCCCAAATTCCTGCTTGGCTCAGGAGGGATGGGAAAAACCGTCCTGAGTCCTCCAGGAGCCACAGTGGGGTTGGAGCAGCACAGGGAAAGGGCATGGAGGGGTTGCTGTGGAGGAAGGCACAGCTCCCTCCTCCTGCCCTCAGAACAATCCATCCCCTCCAAGCACCCTCTCCAGCACCCAGAGGCTGCCAGGAGCTGGGAAAGGGTTTGGGGCCAAATTCAACCTCAATCCTTCCCTCTCCCACCAGGGCTGCCAGGAGCTGGGAAAGGGTTTGGGGCCAAATCTCAACCTCAATCCTTCCCTTTCCCACCTCCCCACCAGCTCTGGGTTTCCTATTCTCACCTTAACCAAACCATCCCCTGCTCCAGCTCGGGCATCTCCCTTTGAGCAGGGGGAAACCCAGGGCTAATGATGGCTCAGAGCTTAATTAGAGAGTGGAATTTGGGGGCTTGCAGAGGCTGGCAATGCCAAATCCCACCCCTCTCTCCAGGAGGGAATAAAAGGCTTTCCAAGGAAAACACAAGTTACCGTGGGATGCCAAAGGCTACGGGGGAAGCAACGGAGCAAAAGGCAACCAAGATATACAGTAACAGGAAATATTTAATTTTCCAATCTCCACTTCTCCATTTTTATAAACTGAAAAGAAAAAAATTTTTTTTTAATATATTACAAAATATCTGTACAGAGACAAAGGTACAACCGAAAAAAGGCGCGCTCGGTCTCCGAAGGAAACTCGGGAGAGGTACAGCAAGAGTCTGACCAGAGGCTTCTCTGCTGGGAACTGCTACAGGGGGAGAATTTGGGATTGAACCCAGAGCCAGGATGGGGGGAAGGAGAGGGGAGCTGCCCTCACTCCCTTGTCTGGAACTGCACCAGTTTAAATCCTCCCAAACGCACAAATCCCACCCGACACCGCGAATCCTTTTGTCTTCCTTGTGCAGAGCATCGGGGAAAAAGGTAAAATTAAACAAAAATAAAGTAAAATGGTGGGGGGGAAATAGATGAAAAAAAGGCGATGGAAGCCAAGAGTGGCCTCACAGCCCCCCAGGACCTGGCCAGGCTGGTTCCCCCCAGACCCCCTGGAAAGGCTCGTGCTGGGACCAGTCAGGAAAAGCCACTGGGAGCGGAACAAGGAGGGGGGCTCAGAGAAAGGAATGATGGAATCACCTTCCACAGGAGCCCCCAGGGGCCCTGGGGACAGCTGGCAGCTGCCACGGAGCAGGGAACAGATGCCTGGAATGTCCATCCCTGGCTGGGGCTGGGACAGGAGGCACCGCCAGCCCCTTCCCAGCCCTGCTGCAGGAGATGGAGCTGGGCCAGGGAGGGCTTGGGGACACCCAGCTGGGAAAGGCCACTCTAAACTGGGAGTGGTGACCCCCAAACTGGGACTGATGACCCCAAACTGGGACTGATGACCCCCAAACTGGGACTGATGACCCCCAAACTGGGACCCCAAAGCCACTGTGACACCAGCATGGGGAGCAGGAGGTCGAGGAGGGCTCGGCTCGTTCCCGGCAGCTTTGCTGGGAATGCGCCAGTTTGGAGAGACAATAAATAGGCAGCAGCTTCCTAAGAGGATTCAGCACAGGAACGAGACTTTTCCTTCCAAAGAGGATGGGATTGGGAAGAAAAAGGAAAAAAAAAAAAAAGGCAGCAGCAGCTCCATGGCAGCCTGGAGCTGGTGCCAGGAAAATGGGAAATAGAGAAATTAAACCCCCCTCCTAAAGTCCCTCGGTGGGTTCAGTGCACTCTGTGTCTCACAGAACTTCTCTTTTTTTCTCTCTGCACAACAGGCATGAACCAAGTTAAAAAAAAAAAAAATCATCAAGCCAACAAAACAAAAAATCCCAAACCCTACAAATTTCCAGTGGGAATTCTGCAAACAGCATCGCTCCTCAGCGCTGGGAGCCACCGGTCCCTGCATATAACCAGCAAATAAAAATCAAAAATATATCTATATATTGAATTTCTCTCCCTTCCTTCCTCCCATGGCAAAGCTGGGTAAGGCAGGATCTCCCCAGGTGGAGAAGCATCACCTATTCAGGTGCATTTATTTAAATTTATCTCTCTGTATAAAAAAGAAATTAAATCCTGTTAGTAGCAAGAAGGTCTCTTGGCCCACCCCAAAATTCCCCTCCCCTTTAACACTCCAGAACTGTCGGCTCTAAAATTAAATGTTTTCCATAGGAAAGGCCTATTTGGGAAAAAAAAAAAAAAGCTGATAAATAGGTACCTTTGTTTTATTCATCTCTTTTTAAGTCTCATTGAAATGAACAGCGCAAGGGTCTGTGGGAGGAGAAAATCCATCGTAAATACTTCCTTGACAACAACAAAAATAGAAATATGCTCATGGAAATGACACAGGAACACCTGGAAAACCTCAAAGGGCTGAGATGTGACCGACCTCGGCAGGATGGGCAGCACTGGCCCAGGATTCTGGGGACAAATCACTCCCATCTGCTGGCAAATCCCACCAGATGTTGGGATTTTTGCTTCCTCTTTTTTAATTCTTGAAGGGTTCTGAAAGTTACAAATGGCAGAAATCCCTGGTTTTCAGGGAGGTGTTCTCCTCGGCTCTTAAAAAATAAAAATTAAAGCAAAAGACAAAAAAAAAAAAAAAAAAAAAAGAAGAAAAAAAAAAAAGAAAAAGACAATTCCCACTGCCAAGTTACAGCAGGAGGGATCCAACACCCAGAGACCCTTCCCAAAAATCAATGTACTAAGGCTGCTGTCACAGGGGACAGGACTGGCCCTGGAGCAGAGGGAAAACTGGATGCTTTA